AAGGAACGAGCGAACGAATGGCTTTTTTCGCCGAGAAAACAAACCCCGGGAAGAGAAGTCGAAAAGAGAAAATTCGGAGGCGGGAAGTGCATGCGTTGATGGTTGTGGGTGAATGGGTGGTGCAATCAAGAGATGCAGCAAGTGGAACTTATCGTTGCTAGGCCTGCGTGGTTCTTGAACTTGTTGATGGTCATTGGTGGGCTCCTGAACAACGACGGTTCACGATAGTGGACTGGATGCTACACGCTATACCGTACAGAGAAGAGGATCATTGCTGCACAGGTACGGAGTTTGCGTGGGACTACACTAGTGCAGTTCATGTACCTTTGTATTCTTTCAATGGACGGAGCGAGTTCCGTGATGTCTAACGGCCATCAATCATCGTGGAGAAAAGGGGGGTCCATAGAAAATCCTCAACTCCATGCCTATGATGTCTGGAGAACGGTGATTCCTGTGAGGATTTTGCGGGAGTAAAAGCGGCGCAGATTTATCAGCAGCACGCTCCAGTCAGGATACCGCGTGGAAGGAAAAGAAAGAAAAAGATGCAGCTTCGCAAGATTTGCACAAAGGGTTACCAAGTGGGAGGATGGCAATGTGTGGATGAGAAGAAATCTTGGACCCAAGCTGCTGCTCAGATCACATTCGTTTCTTTTTCCTCTTCCAAGAACCCAATGGATGTTCAGTTGGGACCTACACTAGAACTCCCGTCAGGTACAATCCAATGCCATCAAGGAATGCCCTGACGGGAGGAAGTTGCTTCTCCGGGCCCTCCGCGCTCGCCTTCCTTTCAGCTCAGTCAGCACACCTGAACAAGCTGGACCACGCACAAAGACCAAAAGTCCACCCGACACCATCGCCTAGTGCGGGTACAAGTACACCAAAAGAAGCGAGCCCCACAAATACCCACTCTCTCAGCTGCATGGAAGTGGATCGCCAAAGGTCTTGGCAATCTTAGCAATTCGCTCGTATCTTGAGGAAGGACCTTTTTCACCGAAGTATGAAACGCCGTCATGACGAATTTCAGAGGGTTTTATTGTTACTTATTCGTTGAAAGAACAACACAGCACAACACAAGTGTAAAATAAAAACAGGTGGGGGTTTGGAGATTGAAAGATTGGTTGTAGGTTAATTTCATCCTTTACACTACACCACTCACCACGTGTGATGGCCCCGTCAAGTCCCGGGGAAGATCTCCACTCCTTTGCCGTTCCTCGAGTCACTCGATCGGGCCGTATCCGAATGTGATTGTTGTGGATGTATGAACACTACAGCGAATTGCAAGGCCGTGTTTTGCAAATGGGCATACCATCCCCTTGGCTCGTCTACTGAGCTGAGCTGAGCTGACATGGGATGACATGATATGACATGACGACCGCGCGAAGCAGTAACATGATCACCACCCACTGAGTGTGCTGTGTAAAAGTGTTTCTGTATGGAGTGAGTACCCGATCACACTATCGAAAGCACTTTATCAGATCACATAACCGGTTCCCGTCACATTGCTTCAGTTCCGAGCAGTGACCCCAGCAAAGAGGTGTGTGTGTTCGTATTTTGCGGATTACAGATAGGGTACGTACCCGACTAACACTCACTAGTGTTTCCGCATACACTACACTTTCTCCATAGCTGAGGGATATGTAGTGTAGAACACATGCAAGATGAAATTAATCAGCATGCAGCATCACAAATTTTTTTGATGAACCCCGAACATCGAAACTCGCACGCCTCGCACGCCACTATTTGTGACATCCATTGGTCTCGTCAGGCATCGTGAACCAACAGATGTCCCAGGAACAGGGACTGGTGGTCTTGGAAGGGGCTTGACGGAGGATCCGCCGCCCGTCCCGGGCACCACACCACCACCGGACCACCGGTAATCCTCTCTCGTTGAGGTCCCCGGCCCGGGCGGCTTCATTCATCATCATTCCCCAGGGGCCACACAGTAAAGAATTGATGGTGCAGATTTGGTTCGCTTGTCATCCATGTTCCAGCATCTTGTTTTTTTAGACATGTTAGAGACCGGGGCCTCGGCGAGCGGCGGCCCCGTGTTCCGTATCCAGGAGGCCCTCAACCCGTTATTATTCTATTGTTCTTTTTTTTTCTTTCTTGATTTTCGACAAGGGCATTCGGGATGTGGGCGGTTCGGACATGGGCTACAGCTGGGCAGGTTTCGTATGCGTGATGTGTGGTGTTGCAATGCTCGCTTCTCGTGACCAAAAGATTTATGTGGGTGATGGATAAATCAGGAACTCCCCATTTTGCATTGTCAATATGGGAGGAGAGCTCTCAAACAAACCGGACAATGGCAAATTGCAGGTGCGAGATCATCATCCTATTATTTGATCGTCGACATGCTTTGGGTTGCATCTACTGTACACCTATAATGTCCCGGCCAAAGATTGGAAACGACTGTGAGCCATCATGGTGACTGACCTCGTGTCCTCATTAAAGAGAACCCTCACCTCCATCATCAACGGAACCGTAAGCGACACTGGGGCGATCCGTTCATTCCATGGGGCCCATGGGGTGCAAAGAGAAGAAGAAAAAAAAAGTATGATGCCATCACTTTCCCACTTTCTGTAGTGTACCTACCTAGTCACCCACTCCGGCTCCCACACTGCCACTCAATATCCCATACCAATATCCGAACACGGCGTTTCGATACTTTGGAGAAGAGAAAAAAAAGTTGCGTATGCCGTTCTGGAAGCCAATTTCGGATTCACGACGCCCAAACATGGATGTTCCTGAATGGGTACCTGGCTGGGCCCTGTGGATGGCGCTGGATCCAATTCGGTACCAAATGAGAGAAAAGACAGGGCTGTCCATCCAAGCGGGTCGTTAATCCCAGCAACGTCCATGTGGCCGACATACTTGACTAAACCCAAACCGGTGCTTGAACGTTTGGGTGAAAGAATTTCCGAACCTTTTTTTCAACTTTTTTTTTTGTCTTGTTGGGTTGAGATTTCCAAGGTTGGTCCGCACGATCTTCAATTCGATGTGTCAAGCGACTCGGGCCTTCTTGAAGGCTTTTCGGTCGACGGAAGGGAAGTCCCCATGAGGAGCCGGCGAGACAAAGAACTCGTTTTGACCAACTCTAACGCCAAGACTCTGTACATGCATAAGTGGCTGGACGCTGAAATGAGTTGTTGTTGTTGTTGTTGCTGTTGTTGTTGTCGCTAAGAAGGAAACAGGAACGGCACGTATTTTTGGAGCAGCACCGCACATCCGGATACAGGACGTTTCCGGTCACGGGACTTGGTTGCATAACAGATAAGATGGGGATCGCTGGCCACCATTCTTAAAAGTTGGGTCAGCTGGGGGGGTACAACAACGCTGTCGAATATTGGTGGCCGATTACCGAGCGCGGGTTACAGCAGCAACCTAACCACTGAAGCGAAGCACCTCCACTTTTTACCTTTTTTTGGCATTTCCATTTCGGCGACCATTTCACCACCTCTGATGTGACTTTGTGACGGACTGCTTGTCATTGAAGCCATGGAAGGTCGTCACTCGCCAAGGCCAGCTCATGCTGAACACCGATCACGCTCTCCTCGGTTACAATTCGCGGGTTGCTGCAATGCGATACACGCCTCTCGTGTAGTGCCTCGACGATAACATTCACGATGATGATGGCGCCGCCAAGTGACCGGGACCCAGAAGCCTCAACAACAACGATTGATGATGGACAATGGGAGGTGCATCGATCGAAGGACCGGTATCTCGAGATGACCCCCATCCCCCTCCGTTGGCATCGCATTCGCGTCGATTTGCCTTATACTAAAAGATGCATATCAGCGCATCAAGGAAAATCTCCATTGGCAAGTTTACGCAACAACAAGCAGACTGTTTGGACGCCGTGATCGGTGCCACCACACACCCAGCCTTGTTTTTTTTTTTTTTTTTTTTTTTGGTTTTTTTTCTTCCTAATGTGTCTTTCCACAGGGAAGCAGCGTCGCGTCGAAACGCATAAACAATTCACAATGAAACCTACTCTTATCTCTTTTTCTCTTACATCCCTAGTGCTTGCCGCTGCTGCCGCCGCCGCTCGGTGGACGGTGCTTGTTTCGTCAAACATACTACTGCCAGGTGAGTTGTCACAGCCGAGCCTAAACACGGCCACCTGAGCGCCCGCAGCAGCGAATTTCACAAAAAATCCTGCTACACGACCCGCGAGTCATATAGTTTGTTACAGAAAAACAACAACAAACCCATTCAGCTCATCTTGATGGAAGCCGAAACCACACTCACTGAGACAATACTAATGGAGGGACGTGGATCCTCTCGCTCTGTGTTGTGCCGTGGCAGAGATGATGATGACAAGAGGAACAGGACAACAGAACCGGCCAAGTAAGTGGCAGTGAGTAGGAAAGCAGTCAAGCAATAACACGCAGTCCATCCAGATGAATGAATGACCGGACGCCGCAAGGGTGACGACATACACACATTTGCTGCCCGGCACTGCTTTGGGAAGGAAGCAAATTAGACACAACAGCATCACGATATCACACAAGCCATGCTGGGAGCCGTTACGCCTTCTTGCGTACGCACCCTCTTTTTTTCATTTTTCTCAATTTTCATCCACACTCCTCACTGCACATTCACACACTCTCATACTTTCCCCAACCCCGCTTTGAACGAGTTTGCTGGTTCCGTCCGGGTCCGGCCTCCCTCGCTCTGGCTTCTCTGTCTCTTACAAGTGTGAGGCATGTTGCCGAGTCAGGCGACAAACAGGCAATCAATCAAATCGCCACGAATGGCTGGATTGGCTTTCTCAATGAAAAGTGAATGATGTTCCGTATGAAAAGAGAGAAAAAAGAGTTTCAGAATAGCCCGCCGCGCACCATCAATCAGTATCAGTGCGGTGCTCTCTCTCAAAACGTTGCCGTGCTGCACCTGGATGCGGCGTTTGCAAGATGCGGCGGGTGCCTCAAGAAGAGGGGGGCGGCTTCGGATTCAAACACACCCAGACAACCAACCCTTCTTACAACCCTCCGACTCGGATCCGATTCAATCCGATCCCGCCGCTGCTGCCGCCGCCGCCGCTCGCTGCCGTCTTTTTTCGCCCTTTGCCGTTGCCGCGCCGCAGGATCACTAGGTCGAACCTTGAAACATTGGACGTTGGACCAACTCATCAATCTTGCTGCACAACCCCCCTTCAGATGCAACATCCTCGAGTGCGTCTCAACATTATCATCAGCTATCGCGCCTCGAAAGTCTCCTTTCACCTTCTAGTGTAGTGTCCATCAACGATATAAAGCCTCAGGGTATCTCTCTTCTATTCTAGAAGACAACCATCCACTCTTTGTCAGGTCAGTGGTAGCAAGTGCAAATGGAATCAACCACGTACAGTACAGTACACCCACGCTTACGTACGCTACATCTACCAAGCTACTACCATACTGAGGATCTCTTTTTACAAACGAAAATTTCATGTGTAACAAGCTCTTTCAAAAGCTTTACAAGTATACTGCATACACTATTAGTGCATGTTTCATAAAATTACCTTATAGTGTACGTGATCGTCAACAACTGTGTCAGACTGTCAGTGACAGTTGGTAGCGGTGGTGGGGCTAGTCCGAGACTACAGACCTCTTAGCACTCCTTCATGAGCTTCGTTGGGTATGACATAATGGCCAATTAGACTGCCACGGAATCTCTGGTCCAGTACGTAAGGTAAGTACGTTAGTAAGTAAGTAAGTGAGCTACAAGTGAGTTTTCCGAGTTGTCAGCACTACGACATTTATAAAGGAGGGTAAGTATGGTGTTCAAAAGGTCTTCTTCTTCTTCTTCTTCTTCTTGTGTTGTTTCGTTGCTTTCTCAAAGAGCATCGGTTTGAGCTGATATCTGGCTACCATCGTACCTTTATATGATGTGAAGCTAGGTAGGTAGATAAGTATTCCCTCCCATCTTCCATCCTTTTGGAGTCCCTCCGGCGTCGTTGTAGGACCGAGGACTACGCCACTCACCCACTTCTATGCCGCGATGCAGAGCCGGCGTCGCCGCCGCCTCAGAAATACCTCCTCGCCTTGTGTGGCTTGTGAAGAAAAGTGTACCAAAAGTCGGTTCGGTTCGGTGGGTTATACCACCACCTGCTGTATGTCTGTAGTTCCAAGTGACTTGCTTCTGCGGTTTCGCGGTTCTCTGGTGTATGTAGTCACCGACGACGTCCATGATCACGTTTATGTGTACGGGTTTGAGCCAGCAATCGTCTCCACGGTGTTGGTCGGATTACAGCGAGAGAGAGAGAGAGAGAGAGAGAGAAAGATAGTAGAGAGATCTCAAGATGGTAAGTGTAACAATAACGATATCTGTGGACACTCGGTTTTTCTTTCCCTGTTATGATTATTAGTTATTATATTATCTCAGTGTCTACACATATCCATAGTAAGAGTGAGTGAGACCGGCAGAAAAGGTACAAACACCTATTGTATCCTCAGGAGCTTTATCTACCTATGCATGTCCATCAAATCCGCCTTCCATTTGCAAGAAGGAGGCGATTGGATATTCGCTCCCATCTGATAGAGCCGTAGAATCGTAGAGGGTGTGTTGCTTAGGATCCGGTCCTCAAGAGTTTGAGATGCGAATGAACAACGAGTCAACACACCAGCACGCAGTGTAAAGCTGACGGGTAAGGTAGGTATCCTCAGCGACGGTGATGATATATCCATCGGGTTCATGGTTTTGTCTGTCGTGGATATCACACCTGAGTGAATGCTGCTTCAAGTATATTCAAGTTGATTAGTGTGATGTGATTTACACTATGGAATCGAGAAAGATGGAGATGAGAATGAACAAAAGATCACTCAACACATGGTAGTAGTAGACAAAGAATGAAAAGAACTCGCCATTCGTGTAACAACGAGAGTACATCGATGTTCAACTGGGAACATAGAGGTATCTTTGCTTCAATATGTTATATCCAGATCCAACCAATTCCTGCGATTGAGTGTCTGGGACAACATATGGACTGAATGGAATCTAGCGGACTGATGACTCTTTCTTTCTTCGGTAGGGACATAGACAAGGTGGAAAATTACGCTCTTGATCGTCGTCTATAACAAAAAGAACAGGAGAAAAAAAAAACCAAGAACATACAACACCAGGGATTCGCTGGTCGTCACCGACCCAACTACTAGTCTGGCCCTCACTGGCTTATCTATGGGAGAGCGGACGGGATCCCGAGTTTTCCAGTGGGTATGGTCGTATGTGCTTGTTTTGGGCTGTTCCTAAACTTATATGAGAGAGCTCCTCCGGCCATAGATGCCGGAATGACTCAAGCATCCTCCACACAACTAACAAAAAAAATTGGCGAGTGAGAGACCACGAACGCTGAGGAGACAAAAGAAAAAGAGAGGGATAGAGAGAAAGAGACATGACGGGTGACTTGCTTTGTGTGAGTGCGAAGTGATAAAAGTCGAGTAAGGCGGCTATCAGCTGCTTCCTTCCATTGGTGACCAAGGAAGTGCACAACATACTCTGGGATCACCAACCGTGCAGTTTCAATAGAACAGAGCTAAGGAGGAAAGGACATCCGCGAGCAAAGAGAACATGTGAACAGCCTTATTGCGGTCTACCATTGTTCACCGGGGTGAAATGACATTAGCAGCCATGACTACAAGTCGTCAAAGATAGAGGAGAAGAAAGAAAATCTAGGGCAAACAGTTGCAGCAGTTATGACCATAGCACCATTTTTTGCGGACACCCTGTTCAGTTGACAACCTTGGACATTGGGGGTCTTGAATGTATCATTCTCTCTGCTCTTTGGTCTCTCAAAGAAAGGGATATGGCGCGGTGATCGTCCAGAACATCCCGCCCAAGTCTGATGAAGAATCCGCAACCTTGATAGTCTAGCCATAGCCTGTTGAGAACCATACTAGAACCTTCTTGAACTGACCGAAGGCCAGGTGTTAACTACCTCGTGACCGTGCTCAACCCAGCAAGCCAGACGCAAAAGCGGTGACCGCTACAAGAGCGTGGAAGCATCTGCATTGTTGGCCAGGCGAAACCAGTTTGATACCATGTGATCCACTAGTGATATCTCAGCCACGATAATCCCATATCCCTTCTCATACTGTCGAGCCTTGCCCAGTCGTCTAGAACAGTAGTAAACCGGCAATCCACAGCTCAGCTCGCTCGGGTCCCATTTCGGTGAAATCATGGAGTCCAGCATTGTCGGTAGGGCGTCCACTGCTTCCAAGTCCCACAAAGACCCTGTCGATCTCGCTTTACCGAGAGGGATTGGCCAGGTGTGCTGAGTTTTGGGCGTCGATAGTCGCAAAGTGTCGGTGTCCCCGAGCACGCCAGATCGTCATGTCCATTGTTGTTCTCCATCTCCTGATTGCCATCCGCCTGTTTCACTCTTGAGTGTCTCCTTTAGGTCCGTCGGCCTTGTTGTCCCCGGTCCAGAAATATGTCCATCCTCATGTCGTCGGGGCTGTCGCTTTCTCCGAAACCCTTCTCTCCCTCTTTTTCTTTCAGTGGAAACCCAGTTTGAATATTCCCTCCTGCAACTCCAAGTTTATGATTAAAAGGCGCAGTACCACGTGGCTGTCGAGCGCTAAGCATTATAAAAACGTGTATTCGTGTCGAGGTAACAACGGAAAAAATGATTTAGTTGCCAACAAGCATAGAGAACTGATCAACACATCTTATTAGCATGTTGCTCGAAGCGGAACAGAACAGACAGGGGATTATGTGGAACAAACGAGGAAACATACCGCCATGAAGATACAACATATGCTAACATACGGACTCAGCCGCTCGCCTATCCTTGCGCATTTCCAGAAGATGCCCATCAAGCTGTTCAATTCATGTCAGTCAGCATGTCGTTTCGTTCACCGGTCCCTTTGTATCGTTTGTCTCTCCTAGAGGCCCGTCCTGTTTCCCAAATCTCGTGCTGTGTCGAGGCAGAGGACCCGGGTCCATCGCTAAAAAGGGGAAAGGCAACTCACCCATCCTTGTTCCGGTCGAGAATCGCGGGGAACATCTGATGTATGTATGTCGAGGTACAGACGAGGAGGATAATGACTAGAAGGAGGGACTGAAAGTTGAAGAGCGCGGTCTACGACGAGAGAGGTGGTTAGCGATGATGGGATGGGATACGATGGGAAGTGATGCGCCATGACGTTGCGGGTGACATACCATGGTGGGCGCTTTGGATTACGGGGCAGGCTATGGTGAGGTTGTCGGGGAACAGCAACTTCTCGTTCTTTAGCGATGCGTCAAAGGTCTCGTCGCTCGTCGTCCTTGGATATCGCGGGTGGAGGTGTCGTGAACTTGCCGTGTTGGTGGTTACGTAGGTGTAGTCAGTTGGTGACTGCTTGTGAAGGCCAGGGTGTCATAGCTCCTTCCACGGCTTCCAGGGCAAAAGAGGCCCGCGAGGCTGCGAAATGCCACACTGAACTTTCAGCGTCGTTAGGGGTGCCGCTCAGCAGTCTCACGCCCCGGGGCGCGCACAGCTTCAGCTCTTCGCTCTTGGATGGATGTGACTGGAAGCTGATTGGTCATTGGACCCCAAACCGTCTTGTGGAGCCACGGTTACACAAGGCAGGGGGTTCCTGGCGCCGTTGGGGGGCCTGGGGGCCTTTCTTAGTTTGGCACTTCGGAGCCTCACTGTTGATCGATCCATCGTCATCGTTTTCAACTTCGAACCTGTCCTCCGACAAGACGCCTAATTCGGGACGTATGCCGCCGGACTGAATGCTCTTCCTAGCCAACTAGACAACTATCGTACAGCCTACTATTTTCGCTGGATTAATCCCGCGTCGCATCCTCCCATTCGCTCCTCCACCACTTAATGCGACAAGGCTGATCGAACTCTCGACCCCGCGCAACTCGAAGCTCCAAAGCGCACCAACCTTCGACGTCGAGCTTCTCGGTCTGCTCAACTGAGCCTTTGAGCCCGCCGATCAACTCAGCCTTCTACGCGCTTCTCAACCAAACCTACCTCGTCATAACGCATCTCTACCGCGAACCGCGACCCCAATCCTCCATCACCTCCATCCACCTCACCTTCTCTCACAACCTCACCACCACCCTCACAGCCGGGCCTCAAGCCCACCCACCCGCAGCCCACCATGGAACCCCGCGCCCGCGCCGGCAAAAATGTCGGCAAAATGAACTTTAACCATAACGAACGTACGTCTTCTTTTTTCCCCCCCACCTAACCCCCCTTTCCTTCCATGTCCCCCACCTAACCCCCCTTTCCGAACAGTAGCCCAACTCCTCTACGGCCACGGCGACCTGAAAAACCCCCTCCCGGAAACCGTGCGCGTGCTCGACGAGCTCATCACCGATTTCATTCAAGGCGTCGGCTTCGAAGCCACGCGCGCCGCCCACCACGCCGGCCGACAAAAAGTCAAGTTTGAAGATTTCGAATTTGCCATGCGGAGGAACCCGCGGTTCATGGGCAAGATCCAGGAGGTGTTTGAGAAGAAGAAGGAAATCGAGGCGGCGCGTAAAAACTTTAATATTGAGGATCAGTTGATGAAGGATGCGGATAAGGAGGAGAAGGAGAAGGAGAAGAAGGGTACTGACAAAGGAGACAAGGAGAAGGGGGAGAAAGAGAAAGAGAAAGGGGAGAAGGGAGGGGAGAAGGGAGGAGAAAAGGAAAAGGGACCGGGAAGTACTGTCTCGGGTTCGGGGTCAGGTTTAGGTTCCGGCGGCGGGACAAAGAGGAAGAGACAGCAGAGTGTGTTGGAGGATGAGGAGTTGGATGAGTTGGATGATGATTTGGAAGCCGAGGCGGATATTGGCACGGCGACGAAGAGGAGGTAGGATCTCCTTGGGTGGAAACGCCGTTGAGAGTATTTCGTTTTTGGGGGGGTTCCGGGTTTTGGCCAAGTTGGTCTGTGATTTGGGAAGAAAACGGGACGACGGCATGGCATCATTTCGTTTTGATAATATGCATAGCGAGGCGTTAAGGATTATGGATATGGTTAGGTTGGTCAAACATGGGGATTATTGCCTTAAACGGGCTGTTAGTTTGTGGAGTTCTATCACTCTAGACCCAATAGCTTCTTTTTACAGTGGTGGTATCAACATCACTCTTTCTACCAGCCCTTCATTAAACTCATCTCTCTCGATTCGCAAGAAGTGCCCAGGACCTATTTTCCCGTTACTTTCCATTCCCATTTCTCTGTCCCTTCCCCTTCCCCTTTCCCTTCCCCCCCTTCCCTTTCTCCCCCTCAACGGCACCAACCCCATCAAAAATCATAATCTCCCCTTTCCCAGGCAACATCCCCTCAGGCACCCTAACCTCCAACTTCTCCAAAACCTCCTTGGTCATCTCCCACTCCACCGCAGACTTGCCCGCATTAATCTTAGGCATCCTCATCTCGGGACCAACAACAATATTCTGCTTCTTCTTCGTAGCAGCAGCAGTATTCACATTCACATTCCACTCCGCAACATGCCTCATCAAATCTTCCATCGCCTTCCCCGTCGCTTTCATCATCGCCACCGCCGGATCTCTATAAGGGCCATACCCAAGACTGGTAAAAAGACACCCGATAAAGTGCTTCTTGTCGTCCGGAACGGAGGGACGCGGCGGGATGAGCAGTGCCGTGCCGACTAAGCTGCGCTGGTGCTTGGTCAAAGCGTTCTTGCGGGCTTGGATGGGGTCGGACTCGGCTTCTTCTTGGTCTTGAAGAAGATTGGTTTGTGAGGAGGTGGACGTGGTGGGGGTGGAAGAGCAGTGCGCCTGGTAGGTTTTGTAGGCTCCGGGGTAGTGAGTGCGGAAAATCCTGGCTATGCCGGTGCCCCAGTCGCCTTGGGCGTTGCAGGCGTGGATGAGGAGGGAGCCAGGAGGGGGTAAGGGTGAGAAGATGTCGGAGGAGTTGGCGTGGGGGATGAGGGTGAGGTGGTGGGTGGTGAGCGGGGGTGGTGGTTGCTGTGGTTGTTTGGTTGATGATGCTGTTTTTGCTTGTGTTGATGCTGATGTCGTCTTGGGCTTTGGTTCTGCTTTTCGTGCCTCCCGTGTTCGCGTCTCTGCCGTCGTCTCTGCTAGCCCCGGCGACGACAACCCCAGGGACCTCAACACCACGCTCCCACCATTGATGATCATATCATTTCCTACCTTCCAACCACCCAAATCCTCTTGGTGTTCCAACGCACCCGGACCAAACTTGCGACCACTCTTAAGACTGAACGTGAAATACGACGGACCCTTCTTTTCGACCTTTCCCACTGGTTCAGCTTTCTTCTCAGATTTCACTTTCCCATCGCCACCACCTTTCAACCCATTGCTTTCCTGGGTCTGTTGAACCTGCTGAACCTGCTGAACCTGCTGAACCCGCTGAGCCTGCTGATTCTTTTGACTCTGCTGGCCCTGCTGAGTCTGCTCACTCTGCTGATTCTTCACTGTTCCACTTCCACTTCCACTTTCACGAGCACCAGCAGCACGATTACGCCTAACGGCAGCCCATCCACCCATATGAGCAAGAATGCTCCCGCGGTTCTTACTTCCCCCGCGGCTCTCGAGCCTCCGAATCCTTACACCTCCAGTACCCTCAGCACCTTCAACACTACCACCAACACCACCACTATTACTGACCTCAGCGAGGCCAAAGTCCGTCTCCTTAGTTTCCTCCAGTCCTGTTTTCCCGTCTTCTTGTCTCTGTATCTGTCCCTGTCCAGGGCCATTCAACCCATTATCACCGTTCTTTACTTCCTCTTTTGCCGCTGACATCTCCGAGACTTTGGAGGGATCTTGATCCATTAGTAGCGGATGTGTCCGTGCTAATATCGCTTGCTGACGTTGTTGACGTTGGTGCTGTTGTCCCTGAATCTGTCTCACTTGCTGTTGCTGATGTTGCTGATATTGCTGTTGCTGCTGATATTGTTGATGCTGATGCTCCTCCCTCCCCACCGCCAGTTGATGATACCCCCGCTGCTGCTGCTGTTGTCGGTACCCCCTATGCTGTTGGTGTCCCTTTTGCCTATTGATATGCACCCCGATAATATCATCCCTCGTAATTTGTTGTTGATGTCGTTGTTGCTGCCTTGCCTCGCTTACTTCCACTTTGACTTGCCCAACCTTCTGTTCCAACCTTTGCTCCTGCCTCAACCTCTGGCCCATCTCCTGCCCCATCTCCTGTCCCATCTCCAACCACTTCGCCATCTCTAACCTCTTCTCCATCTCTATCTCCATCTCCATCTCCCGTCCCTTTTCCATCTCCATTTCCTTCTCCTGCCCCAACCTCTGCCCCATCCCCATTTCCATCTCCTGCCCCTGCCCCCGTCCCTTCTTCTCTAAACCCTCCACTCCCCGCACCCGACTCTCCACATCCACTCCCCGCACCCGCACCCAGCCCTCCACCACCTTTCGCTGCAACTGTTCCTGTCCCTGTCTCTGTCCCTCTGGTTGTGGCTGTCCCTGCCGCTGTCCCTGCCGCCGCCGCGGCAACTGCACATCCAAAGGAAGGACCCTTCCCAACGGCTGTTTCGAGGCAGATGACCCATGACGAAGGATGAGATTGAGTGGGGGGTTAAACACCCGGAGGTGGGTTGTTGGTTTCATACTGTTTTGTTGTCTGTCGGTTGTCGATCGTTGAAGCAGAGGTATGTTATGGGTCAGGTATCTCAGGGAGGAGGGGAAGAAAGTGGAGGGAAGGACGAAAGGAGGGGAGATAGGAAGGATGAAAGGAGGGGAAACAGGAAGGACGGGAAAGATGGATGGATGGTTGGAAAGATGGATGGATGTTGGAAAGGAAGGATGGGGAAGATGGATGGATGGTTGGATGGTTGGAAAGAAGGAAGGAAGGAAGAACGAAAAGGAAGCGGGGAAGATAGAGGAGGGGGGAAAGGATTAGAGGGGGATAAGACAGCTAGGTAGGTATCCCCGCCTTCTATGCGTGAAGGGACGATGAGAAACGAAGGCAGAGGGAAAAAGAGTGACGCGGGTGAGTTAGTAAGTGAGTATAATCTTGAACTCAATGTGAATAAAACGCGATGTGTTCAGAACTGCAATTGAAGAGACAGCTACCTAAAGGGACGGGAAGTCGTTGAAGCATGTCGGCTGGATAAACGGTAAAGCTGATTGGTGTAACCTGAAGGGGACAAGAGCGATGCAGGTGCCAAGACGGCTCCCCCTCCTTTGGCGGGTGTGTCATCCGACCCTATGTAACTCTGGGAGCCTAGCCTTTTAGGACCAAGTATTTTAGGCTCTGGACCTCGAGATACCAGACTGATAAGATACAGCACTTTAAGAATGACTACGAGAGCTTTGAAAGTGCTTCAACGGTCACAGAATAGAAATACCAATGCCATATCATTGCTCTATGCATCTACAGCTACCGACACCGCACACCCAGTCATCTCTCTACTCACCACTCTAATGAAACTATGACCAAAAAAGAGCGAATCAACAACCAAAAAAAAGCAAAACAATCATCAACCTATGTACTCCTTAAGCTCCTCCGACTCTTCAAGCTGTTGCTTAAACGAGAACGGCGTAAACGGCCATCCGCCAAACTCGGCAAACTTGGAGAAGGACTCGACCCACGCGAGACGCAACGAGTGAAGCTGTTGTTTTGACCTTGGTTAGCAAATAACTTCCCATACATCCAGGATAGCGACGAGCAAACTTACCATAGCAGAGACACCCTCCATAATAATTAAAATGATGACACTGAGGACAAAGAACATGGCAAACGCAACCACAAGGAAGATGGCACCGCCAAGACCCTTGGATTCCAGCGCCTTCGCCATGGTCATGGACCAGAGCACAGCCGAAAGCTGCTGATGCGCCAGCGAAAGAGCCCAAAGACGGAGGTAGGAAGCCGTGTGCGAGACCGAGTTGAGGCAGAACTCTGTCCTGTTGTTAGCACGTCATCTTTGACAGATCCCGGACGAACGGAAAAACTTACCAATAGTATGAATAACCTGGTGAATCATCACCTCACCAAACTCAAACTCCTCATGTTCACCATCACCATGGTCATCGTGGGTAAGCATGGCCGCACCCTCATAGTCGTCACCGTTGCTAGGGTCCTCCTCATCATCTTCGTCCAGAGCACTAACACGAGACCGCTCGCCAATACCGCGATAGCCCTTGGCGCGCGCCCGGTTGTTCTCCCAGCGAAGATAGAACGGCTTGAGGAAGAGTAGGATAGGAACCTGGATGACAGCCAGCAACAGGAGAATAACCTGAACTGTAGCCTGGCCAGGGTAAAGTTCGACCCCACCGTCAAGGGTACCAGGCTGCAAGAACATGTAGATCAACATGTTCAAGAGTCCAGGCGGCTGCCTACCGGTGCCGAACCAGTCGACGGACCACTTGTAGATAATGCAGAGGACGAGATAACCAAAGATAGACTGGAAGAAGATCATACCCGGGACAAAGTTACCCCAGATATCGATCGGCCTCTTGAAGTGGCGGGCGTTAATGTATGAGAAGCACAGCGAGTACGTCATGTGCGCCCAACCCAGAATGATAGCCATCTTCATCTTGTAACTGTTGATGAAGAGTAACTCGTTCTCGGTCCCGTGCCAACGCCAATCGAGACCAAAGGGATAGCGGTAACCGTTGGGTTCGCGGAGCACGGCCTTAACGGTCATCCCTTCCTTAAAGTTTTCCGGCACAACCCACTTCCACTGACTGTCAAAAAGGGTCATGGACTTGGAGAATACATCGTTGTAGATGAGACCGGTGTAGACAGAGAAGACAGCCATGACCAAAACGATGTAACGACCGTAGAAAACCATGGCGAAGAGCTCAAACGTGACCTTCTTCAACGGCTTCTCCCAGTAGATCATGGCAAGGGCGGCGCAGAGCATGATGAGGGCGTGACCAAAGTCACCAAACATGACAGCGAAGAGGAAGGGGAAAGTGACAATGACCGGGATGGCAGGGTTGACTTCCTGGTAGGTAGCAGTACCGTAGGCGTTGACGATGGTCTGGAAAGCCTCGGTAAACTTGTTGGTCTTGAGATATGTAGGAGGGGTCTTGTTGGTCCGGATCTCGTTGATAATGGACGGGACCGAAAGACCAGCCCTGTTGTTGACATCTTGCAGAGTCGACCTGATGAGCGGCAGGTCGTTGGTAGGACACCAACCCTCGGCAATCAAAGTCCGACGAGCCCGGTCGTACGAGAAGAGGTTAAGAGTGTTGTACACAGCCTTCTCCTTGCTGATGGTAATCATCCAAGCCGAAAGTGACTGGGAGATCTGTGCAAGCTCAGCCTCGAGCGTCTGCTGGGTGTTGCGGAGGACGTTCTGGACATCTTCAAGTCTAGCGTTGACCTCGTGGACCTGATCGCGGCGCAGATCGCTGTGCTCATCGACATTGTACACCTCGGCGCCCATGGATTCAGAAATGCGGCGGATTTTGGCGAGAATTTCCTTGCCGTGGGCAAAAATGACAAAGACGTTCTTGAGAACAGGCTCGTTGATGGTAGGGTCGATCAAAGGCTCGGGAATCTCGGCCTGGTTCATGTAAAGGTTACCGCGGAGGGTACGCCAGAGGATGCGCTCAAAGGCATCGACGCGGTCTCTACCGATGACACCGGCGACGAAACCAATGTTCATGCCAGAGAAGGAACGCTCGACATCGGCGGCGGTGTTGTGCTGCTCGACATCCTGCAGCAGAGGGGCGTCATCGTTGTCGGTGGACGCCCTAATCTCCTCGACATTGCCGTGGGCGCGGTCAAAGAAGCCGCCAGCCTCGCGCAGGACCCATCTCCATTCCGTCAGCTCGACCTCGCGCTTCTTCAATGTTTCGTAGCTCTCGTTAAGAGAAGAGACGCGCTGCTCCAGGGTCTGGGCACGTTCGGCGAGTTCGTCGATCTCGGTGGTGGTGGGCGGGGTGAGGGTGTCTACGTCGGGGTCGAATTTGCGGAGAGGAATCCCAGCCTTTTCCATCTGGGAGTGGAAGTAGCCTTGGCACGCAAGTTAGCCATGATGCCAAGTGGTGGCTTCGAGAGGAGGGGACATACGCAGTTGGCGTTCGACATTGTCGAGGCGTCTAATGTCTTGGGTAAATGCTCTTTGGAAAGCACTGAGTTCCGAGTTGAGCTGTAGTGGCACATATTGTTAGTGACTGACTGATGTTGATGTTATTGTTTGTTGACGTTGATGGTGGTGGTGGTGGGTTCTCGTGATGCTGTACATGGGCAGCAGGCAGGGAAGGGACTCGGGTGGCATTACGTCTCTGAAGTGGACAAGGCCCAGCTCGCCCAGGGCATTGCAGACTTCGCGGCCGATTTCGTTGGAGATGTAGAGCTGGACCATGCTCATGTCCGCCGAGCGGAACGGCGTGTCCTGTTTCGGCGCCATCGTGGATGACCCGATTGAAGCGGAATGCTGTGTGCAACTCCGGGTCGTTGTCGTGGGTTTTGGTGGTGGTTTGGATTCCGTTCCAGGTTCGCTTGCTACGACGTCGGAGTCTCCAACATGGAAGGCGTTGCTGCTGTGGTTCGCCAAGGTCACAGGTGGACCATGCGTCGCCGCGCCCGCCAGAGGCAGTGGCCACTCATGTCGCCTCTTCCCTGCCCGCCGCCAGCCGGTCGCACTTTGCTGACGCACATTGCCAGCAGCTGGCACTACCAGGAGGAGAGAGTGTCAGCTGGCGATCTCTCGATACGCTGGCTATACCCTAACCCTGGATATGCAACTCTTGCTCACTTCCTCTCATCGCAGTGACGTCCGAACACAATGCTTTGTCTAAAGTCTCATTCTTTCGGTGTACGAAAACTTTGTTTTAACAAATGCCATAATAATTATTCACGAGGTGTAGACATAGTCGAGGTTTATACTATCTGCTCTCTCTAGAAGTCTTTACAACCAGGCAGGTAGGTGATTCACCTGAACTACACTACTATGGGACAACGGAGGTAACTCGATCACTCACTCCTCAAACTCTTCAATTCACTTTCACTTCCCCAATACAACTGAACCAACCCCTCATCACAGCGCAAGTGGAATGTCAGCCAGCAGCCCCAACACCTAAACACGGATTGACCCCATCACCTACCAACACAGAGGCAAGTACGCAGGTACCGTCCTTTGCATCTATAATGCCTATCTTACATCAACAGTTTCAGTGACATCACTTGCAGTAACCATGTTCCAGCCTTTGCATATGTACAATGCATCAAGGGACCATTGGAGAGAACTCTTTATTTGATGCTCTGGTTCAATGTGCCTCAGCTGTCTGCTTTAACTCAGCCCAACGAGGAGAGTGACCGTGATTACCAACACCCCCACGCGGGGTCGGGCCAAAAGGGAATGGGTGACACCCAGTGACCACCGTCCATCACACATATCAATTACTCACTCACTTATTCACAGCGGTTTCAAAACAAGTCCGATATCTTATCTGCTTCTCGGATATCATTTGGCACATGGTAAATAATGCTGCGAGGTTGTAATATGTACAGACTTTGCTTAGTTCAGGTAGCCGAGTAGATATGTGTATAGATGTAGCACAAATCTTCTTCCTCCCCTCGAATCCCCTGGGTTCCCCCGCCTGAAGCCATCAATACACATACATGCAACTTCGAAAGGCAGTCATCACAAAATCTGTCTGTCTCTCGCCTCCTGTTCATCTCTTCATGACCAAACAGTCAATTCCTTATCCTTGGAAACTCCTGCTTTTGGCAAATTGATGTCCATCGATGCAAAGCAAAATCTTGGATAACCCTTAGTTCTTTTGATGAAGGAAACAGAAAGCCGATGCCTCCCAAAAACTCCATGCAATGACAATGACGCGAAAAGCCGGAAACCCTCAAATACCGATGAATCCTTTGTTGGGGAAATGGATATTGGAACTCTCAACGACCTCGCTCTCGACATGCGAAAAACTAAAATAAAACGAAGAATAAAAAAAAAAAAGGACTCCAAACTCCGTTCGTTGACGCAAAAAAAACCAAAGGATATAAACGTCGAAATCGCTCGCTTGTCATAGCCGGTCATACCATGCAATGCCATGCAAACATAGGGAATACATAAGAATGAAAAAAAAAAAAGTGAGTAGAGAATCGAAAAAAAGTTGTGACGAGGAACAGATCGATCGCGGATCCGAAAGGAGCTGCTTAGAGCTTGCGCCCAAACATGAAGCTCCCGTACATTCCGCCGACCTCAGCTCTTGCGACGGGGATCTTTCTCATTCCCCAAGCTTCGGCGCCCATCTTCCAACCACGGCTGCCGTCGTCGTGTCGCACAGAGGGGTCTTGAGACTTCTGTCGCACCATCCATCCGCGGCTTCCCACCTCCGAGGTGCGCCAGCCCATGCGCTGCAAGGTGGCAGACGACTTCACCACACGACGGAAAACATCTTCCGCCAACTCAACCACTTCGAGAGGGGCCGAGAAGGGCTTCATGATGGCACAGCGGCTGTTGAACAGATAGACCAGGTCCAGCTCGTTACCCCACAAATCCGAGAGATCGAGGAACTTGAGCGTGTGAGGAACCCATTCGAGCTGCTTCTCAATATCGTCCGTCTCGTCCGGCACAAAAAGACGGTTAACATCCTCCAGAAGAAGGGATCGGCCAATAGCCAGTTCCTCGAGATGCTTGGTCAAGGGCCGAAGCAAGTCAATGTGCGAAGGATCCATCTTGCTTCCCTTCAAACTGAGGGACTTGAGGGTTGCAGGAAGGATGGGGATCAGCTCGGAAATGTCTTGGACGTCAAAGAGCTGGTGGCTTCTGGCATCAGTAGCCAAGCTCAGGTATACGAGACCTTGGGCAGCAGGGTGGTTAGCGAGGAAATCAATCACGCCGCGCGCCGAGAGCAATTTGCACTTGGCGATGTTCAGGTGAGTGATCCTGGCCGTGTAGGGGATCGACATGAGGGCCGCATCAGTGATGCGAGTGCCGGCGACGTCAAGGTGCGTCAACCGGGTCAGTCGGGGAAGAATAGCCTCAAAGACAGTTGAAGGCAATGTCAAGCACTTGTGCAGCGAAAGGCGGCGAATCGACAGCTGCGCGGGCCAATCCGCAGTCACTATCGACGTGAAGGAATCCTTAAAAAAGGTCGAAGTACATCCACAAAAGTCCAAAGCCTCCATGCGCTCAAGACCTAAAAACAGCTTCCTCAACACATCCACGCTCAAATCCTGGTCGATATGCTCCTGCACCAAGAACTCCTGAAGGTTCGGGGTCAACTCGAGGCATCGGAGCAAGGTCTCGGAAGTCAAATTGCGAGCCTGGGATCGTTCGGCAGCCGTGGAGAAGAGCTGTGAAGGGTTGAAGTGGCAGAAGTCAAGTCGTCGGACGATTGTGCCCAGCGTTTGGTGCTCGGCGATATGGGTCAGGAACTTGTGGAAGATTCTCGAGTGGGGAATGGTGATCTGGCTGTACAGCGTGCTCAAGGTCGCAAGGTGGAGTGTCTTGGACGTCAGCAACAGCGACATCAGATCAATGTTGCGCCGGGTTACGCCGTTCGGGGGGACATCGAGGAAGAGGAGGCTGATGATGGCAGCTGTCACATCACATGGTGGTTAGCGGACGGGTTATTCCCAGATGCGAAGCGGGGGAGGGGTATTATGGAGCCGGACAGGGTACGTACTCAAAATTTCGGCAGGAAGCCTCTCGATAGGAGCCTCACCTGGCCTGATTTTGACACTTCTGGGATCCTTTGGCGGACTACCCCAAACGTTATTCAAAATGGTCAGGTCTCCAAAGCTCCTGCTAGCAAGCTTGCCTCTGACCTGGATTCCCTTCCAGCCTTGGAAACTGTCGGCGGGGGCGACGTAGCCACGAAGCCTGCTGTTGGGTTGGGTCACTGGGGGGCGGAACTGTGTCTGGATCATGCTGAAGGTGTCGACCTTGTTTAGGGTCGAGGGGCCGGGAGTGACCTCGGGGGTGCGATCGTCCACAACCTCTTCGTCGACGTCGAGGTGGGAGATCTTGGAGTGGGTGAAGGTCTGGGTGAGGGTGTTTTCGTTCTCGCGGATGGAGGAGAAGGAAGAGCGCGACGCCCTGTCGGGAGAAGGCTGGCGGGTTTGAGCTTCACCCATGGTCTTGTTGTTGTTGTTGTCGCACTCGTTAGGAGAAGGCAGAGCTGGGGAGAGGCACTCCTGGTGGGCAGGAGGAGTAATAGGAGGGCTTGGCGCTTGGATATTCTCCATGGCCGCGAAGGTGTTGAGGTGATGCAGAATGACCATGTTGATTGAGGAAGGAGGACGAAAGGTCGGAGGGGGCTTGGCCGAGCCCAATGGCAAAATTGCTATGAGGTCAGGTGTGCGACGGCGGAACAATCGATAGTTGACAGCAAGCGGTGACCTTGTTTGGCGTCCTTTGTTCGGTGATTTTTCTGCTCCGTGGGGAGAGAAGGGACGATGTCACAGACGTTGGCGGGCCGGGATGGATGTTCGGGGGTACAAGCAGAGGACGTTAGGGTTGGATGGAAGCTCTCGAGCAACAAGAGACGAAAAGTCGGACAGTACAAAGATCAGAAAGGTTGGAGCTATAAGTGTAGAGCCACGAACAGGGAAGGACGATTTATTGGTGGATCAGTTGGATTTTCGCTTGTGGTGGGATGTCGGTGTCTGGAAGCTCTTGGATCCCGGCGAGGTTATAAAGAGCCGTTCTGGGATCGCCCCTCGCCAAGTTGGGGTAACCCTGAGTCGACAGGTGAGACAGGTGTCCAAGCGCGTGGGACCACGAGCTCACGAAAAACAGGCGTGGACAGGCGTGCCGAAGGACCGGACTTTTTTGTTTCTTTGGCGGGCGTGGACTAGTCTGACTAGCCGCTTGGTGTTTTTCTATTAGTCAAGGGATGGTGCCGTTAGGTAAGAAGAACGAGGTTGAAGGGGGTCCCGGCGATGCAAGTGATGCGGGGATGCAAGCAGAGGACGGGACAGGTTCGTTGTTCCCTTGGACACTGCAGTTGAAGAGTTGGAGTTGGCTCCGCAGCAGTCGTGATCTGGCTCACAGATGGTGCCAATCCCCTCACGCAGCAGCAGGATCCTGTCGATAGGTGCTCGGGTCGGAGATCCCAGAGCCGTCGCCGCCGCCGCCGCTTCTTGCCGCTGGCTACCTACCTAAGAAAGATGGCCAAAGTGCCCAGACCAACAGCCCAACTGCTGTCAGGTGAGGCAACCTCAAAGGCAAGCTAGGTAGAGGTAGGAATAGCGTGGAGAGAGGCTGTCGGGAGCGACCGAGAGCACAGTAGGGTACGAATAGTAGAAGTCGCTTAAAGTGTGGCTTTTCGTTCGCAGGTACCGTGTCTTTGTACCTCTGAAACCTGGGGAAATTTGTGGATTTCTGGCGCTACCAGAAATTAGGACCGGCAGTACAAAACGTGCGCCGACCGCCTTAGTACCGATGGGGACGAAGAGGAAGTAATGGGGTAAGCGCAATATGACCTCAAATGCGCACGGGTTATGCGTAATTTTGGAGTTCCCCTCCGCTGGTCTTGCGTTCCTTTGGGCGGTCGATCGGTCGGATTGCGTTGGTCCGTCGGATGAGGTCCTGTTCCTGTTCCTGTTCTGTCCTTCGTTTCTTCTTCGTTGTTCGGTTACCGTACGCGGTTGGCAGGACTGTAATAAGCGAATGATGTCTTGTTGGTTGTTGTTACACTATGGTTGACAAGAACGGCAGAAGAATCGACCAGAACAAGAAGCGAGGGCAGTTGCGAATGGAAAAAAACAGGACACACTGATTAAATACTAGAGCTGATTTGCAAAATGGAAAAGTACCTAGGGCAAACCGGCAAGCGGTGCCGGGAGGGCTGCTTGAATTTTCTGTCACTCTGCTAAGTCGTCGTTTTCATTACTCAACGCAAATTCAAGGGAAAGGATGTCCGTCCTTTGTCGCCTGCGTGGCCCTGCCCAGGAAAGACGTGCTGCCTGCCAGGAATGTACTTTGCCTGTGGGCGGGACCCAGCCGTATGGTCCATTGCCAGACCGTCAATACAGAGTCATTACAGTCCAGTCCACCCTCTGTGCCTCTGCAGAACGCAGAAACCCTTCATTCAGTTGGCAGTTATGGACACATCCTGGAAGGCCCCAGTTAAAATGGGCTAATGTCGAAGGGGAGACCGATTGACAGTGGGGTCCATCGCCGCTACAAAAAAAGGAAGTGGTCGATGGATTAGGTTTCTAATGATGCCAATGGACTTTTCTACCACTCAGACGCATGGAAGAAGGAAACGCGGTGGAAACTGGGTCACAACTGAAGCCAAGACGTCTTCCCACACGAACTGGTGATGGCCATCAGGGAGCAGGGCTGCCAGCGATGTAGGAATTTCTCATTTTTGCCTCATCTGTCCCGCCTTCTTGCTACTTATCAGAGCTTCGGTTGACAGATGGTTCAGTCACTCCAGAGTAATCGGGTAGTATCTTGGGCTTGGTTGATCTTGCAGCATCAGTGACCTACCGGAGACGCGAAACGGACCAACCAGAGCCGGATATCGCCCACCAAACGTCCAAATCGAGTAACTGCTTCTTGGATCATTTTTTTTGCCATCGATCGTTCAATTGATTCCAGTTTCGAAAAGACGTACCAAGAGATACGCAGGGACGGATCGCTTCAATGTTGGTCAACTGCAGATAACCCAAAATATCCAAGTTTCCATGACATACCTAAGTAGTCACTGGTAGTATCACCAGTGTGAAGTGGCAGTGGTTGACAAGAATGGCTGCCAATGGGTGCTCTCTGGTGGACTGGTGGGTTGGTGGCTGGCCAGGCTCGCCAACGGTAAAGTACATGCCGTACAATACCAACTGAAAGAGACGTATTCGTACGTAATGGGTGGTTTGGAGGCGAGACTGAGAGTGACCTTCTCCACCGACGGAATGACAGCCGCGACATCAAAGGGACACCTCAGAAGGGACGCCGGCCTTTCTCCTCACGCTTCTCCAGATTCCGATCCCGTGCACATTTCAACCATTCGACATACTATCGACTGGGATGAAGAGCACCGAATTCGCGATTCATTTTTGAATCATTCTCTTATCTTGTCTTGGCCACCTCCGACAATGCTCTGGCGATCTGCGGCTGATACGACCCTTGGCTGACGTGACCAACTTCCGAACTGTCGCTCTTTGGAAAGGGTCGAAATCGCATTCTCACAACTACGTACGTCTCGACGGGCAGCCCCTTATATCATATTTCTTGTACACTACGGATTCCCCAGACACGACAAGCAATTGAATCAGCACTACTTGACATGGGGAGCAACAAGGGGCCTGGCGACTACACATGTACACTACACACACGCCGCTTTGGACCCCTTTCTGCACCCTTTGAGAGATCGACTCCACGCCGTTGTCGGCGGATCTCTCTAGCTCTTTTCTAGATGGACCAATCAAACTCTCCATCGGAAGACAAGGTGACCAGAAGATCAACGACAGTGGGGAGAAGAGTCAAAAGCCCAAAGTCAATCTCAACCAGCCGGCCATCAGAGATGATCACCCCAAGAAGATAAGAAGAGACACTTGAGCAGTGCCAAAACTTCAAGCGTTGAAATGGAATGATCCTGCTAGCAGACTACCTACTGGGAGACGACGGGATTGATGAGGTGATGCCAAGCAATTGGAGTGGTGCGGTCCAGAGGTTGCAGCATTCAACAATCCCAGAGAGGCTCAGAATTGTTCACGTGCACCTGATCATTCGCACCGCAAATTCTCGCTTGTTTTGCTGAGAACAAGCCACTCTTCTTCTGGTTGATTCCCCAAATCCCCCCCCTGTCACTGTCTTCTCCAATCCGGGGAGCCGCTTCCTGCCGCCCCGAGCTAACCCTGTCTTGACTTGCTGCGTGTCTTTCCTTGTGCTTGTCGTACTGTAGCCTCAGTCTCCCCTTTCCCCGCATATCAATTGGGGGAGAACCTCGACGGGACCACACACAGCTTGCATAAAAAAAGGGGAAAACAGCAACGTATACCAAGAATATGTGCGTGGGAAGAACAAGAAAGTACCAAGTGTGCCCGGGACAAGTCTGTCCATCACATCAACAAGGTGGTAATAGTCATCATTGCACAAACACATCCAAGTCGCCAACAAACACCACACATTACACAACATTTGCAGTTTACATATTCCGTGTGACCTTTCCCCTTTTTCCATCTCCGCGGAGCTGACATCTGACCTTTAACGTTCTTCATACACTACTTTGACAACGTGGAAATAATGCGGGATTGCGTGCTAGGTGATATATGTACGCAGTAGATGGATTCTGGAAGAGCACATTCAGCACGTAATACTAGGTTACGTTGACGTTGACCATGTCATTATAACTATGCAGTGCTGCTTTGCCAGTCAGCCTTTGCCAGGTTTACCAAGTTGGTGTCAAGTTGTAGTACTTGCCGAATGGATATCCAAGTCCAAATAGAATTCTTCCTGCGGACAGGAAGCCAACGTAAAGCCCACAACAAAAAGAATTTTTCGGCAGTGCAGTCAACAGAATACAATATAAACGTTGCAGACAAACAGGCAGACAGAATAAAAGAGAGAAGTCAAAGCCAAGACGTCCAGACCGGGCGTCCGTCTCCCAAGTTCACTTTACCCCAGGTTTTCGGGCAGTTCCTAAAAGTCTTGGCCAGATCATCGCTCCTCCCAACCCTTCCCTTCCCTTCGCTCGCTCGCAGTCGCATCCCTCCCCCTCCCGTCCAGTGTCACCCGCCGCGTCAACCGAACAACTTTTTTTTTTTTTTTTTTTTAGCCAACGACAGCACGCCAAAAACGCCTTGGGACAAGGGGGGCAGTTAGTGTAAAAATGTGTAAAAAGGAAGAGAGAGAAACAATAAAGAAAAGGGGACGGACAGTAGTGTATATAAATTTGATCAAAAGCGTATACAAAGTTCCCCCCCAACAAAAGTCCCAGGCTGGGGTCCTTGTCTATCCACCGTTCTCCCAAAAAAAAAGAGACAGGAAAAGAAAGAGTAAAAAGACAATCCATTGACCAACAGGCTCCGTACCTTTCGTTGCTTCACCTTTTATGAAACCTAAAAGGGCCAAAAGAACCAAGGAAGAAAAAAAAGAAAAAGAAAAAAAAAGGATGAAAACAGCCAGGAAGTCCTTCCGTTCCGTCGACCGTACGCCTTTGCTTTGCTCCCCTCCTTGGCTACGTAGCTTAGCTAGCAAGGAACACTTCTGCACTTTTAAGGTAGTTAATCAGGGAATCGATGCAAAGGACGATATCAAAATCGACAGGCAAGACGGA